TTTTGGGGGTGTCCCCCCCTCATTTTCTGTCCTTTCCCCCCCAGGGATGAGCGATGTCCTCCCCAACTGCCGCCCCTACGTGCCCCGTGTGGGGCAGGTGAGGGAATTCGGGGGGGATCTGGGGGGGTCTCGGGGTCTCTGGGGGGGATTTTGGGGGCATTCGGGGGGGCTCTGGGTGGTTTTTTGGGGGTCTTTCTCAGGGCTTCTGCGGGGCTTGGGGATTTTTGGGGTCTCTGTGGGGTTTTTGGGGGTCTCTGCTCCCCCTGACCCCCCCATTTCCCCCCCAGCACATCACGGTGGTTGTGGGGCGCCCCTTCAGTGTCCGGCCCCTCCTGGAGCGGCTGCGCAGCGAGGGGACCCCCACGGTGGGTCTGGGACCCCCAGATGTGGGGGCTGGGACCCCCGGATCTGGGGGGGTTGGGACTGAGGGATTTGGGGTCCTGCCCCACAGATTTGGGGTTTGACCCGTAAATGGGGGAGGGTTTGACCCACAGATTTGGGAAGGTTTGCCCCATAAGTTGGGGGGGTTTGACCCAGATATTTGGGGGATTTTACCCCATAGATTTAGGGGGGGATTGCCCCATGAACTGGGGGGGTTCACCCCATAAATTCCTGGATCCCAGCCCCACACATCCCATCCCAGCCCCACATTTCCCTGTCCAGCCCCACACATCCCATCCCAGCCCCACACATCCCATCCCAGCCCCACATTTCCCTGTCCTGCCCCCCAGGTCGAGCTCCGCCGGGCTCTCACCGATTTTGTCCAGCGCGAGTTCGAGGCTCTGCGGGGCCACGCCCGGACCCTGCACCCCGCCCCATAGCGGGGGGTCCCCGCGGCCACCCCACAACTCGGGGCTCACCCCAAACTGGGGTCCTGCCCCATAGCAAGACCCTCCTGCCTCCTTACTGGGGGTTTTACCCCGTAATTTGGGGGTCCTGCCCCATAATTGGGGGTTTTTATCCCATAATTTGGGGTCCTGCCCCATAGCCGGGGGTCCCTGGTGGAGTCCCTGCCCCACAGAGGGGGTCCCACCCCATGGTGCCCCCCCCGACGCCCCCCACCCAAATGTGCACGGTGCCAATAAAAGGTGAAACCTCGGGGGTCTCGGGGGGATTTTGGGGGTCCCAAAGGGGATTTTGGGGTCTCGGGGAGGGGAAATTTGGGGGTGCCAGGAGAGAATTTGGGGACCCAAAACCCGACCCGAGGTGTTTTTATTGAAGCAGAAAGAAAAAAAAAAATAAAATAAAAAAATGGGGAGGGGTCCCCACTGCCCCACCCCCCCCCAAAAACCCCAAACCAAGGGAAGAGGGGGAGGGGCACAAAGGGGGGAGGGGCTGGACCCTCAAAAATGAGATTTGGACCCCAAAAAAAAGGGGGGGAGGGGCTTGGTCCGGGAGGGGGCGTGGCCTGGTCCGGTGGGCGGGGTTTAACCGTGGTGGGCGTGGCTTTGTCACCGTTTGTGGGCGTGGTCGGGCGCGGCCCCGCCCCCTCACTCCTCCTTCTTGTCCCGGGGTCCGTCATGAGCGGCCTGGGGGGGTTGGGGGATTTGAGGGGGGG